CATCTTGAAAGAATGGCAAGACCAATGATCATATCAACATTGTCATTCCAATGTTCATCTTCTGGTTTCTTTAGTTGTAGAAAAATGATGCTAAACATGTAGGTAATAAAATGAACCACTATAAGATTCAAAAGGTTAAGTGCCTATTCAATGCAAAACTCTAACTTCAAAAACTTCGTAAAGGTTATCCCCATGTTGCTTATGCTTTTGATATTGAGTTTCAAAATTTCTCTCTTCATACTCTGGGTAAACCTGTTTATTAAAACAATCCCCTAGAGGATATTTTTAAATTGAATATTGATGGATATGTGCAGCATATTCATTCGGATGTGAAAATCTCCAGCTGTGTGTTGGCCAAAACGTTACAAAATTTTGGATTGGGGTGGATGCTTAGCTAATAATTCAATAAATTGGTGGTAGTAAATATTAATGTATCAATGGTTGATCCTTATGCTTTTGGATGGTTCCTTTAATGCTGTTGAATTTTCTTTCTGGGTGGTTCTTCTTATAATGTAATACTTAGATAAATTATTGTGCTACCTGCAAAGGGCTTTACTAATTCTAATATTTTTACGCAGATAGGGCCCATTCTGGCCTCTAAGCTAACCAAGAACAACATTTCAATGAACTGGTGCAGTTTCTTCTGTCTAATAGAATTGCTTATATATGGTATATTTAATTGCAGGCTTAAGAAAGAGAGTTGGTATTTTGGATCTATCTAGTGATCGAAGATATCATATTGGAAGCAAATGAATGTCTATTACAGTTGGTGTGCCTGGCTGAGGTATTGTGAGGCAGAAAGGCACTTTTGTTCACTGAACTGTACTGGTTAGGAGAGCTCTGATTGGCCAAATCCAGATCATTCACATTTTGAAGATTTGGATAATGCTACTGGAACTTCTACCTCATATTGGAATGCATCAATTTTTTGGCCTATACTCTTTATTTTTTCCAAGAGAACTTACTTATAGGTCTTTATGGTCTCTTAATACTTTTAAACTGTTTTGCAACATGTCTCTTCTTCAGGGCCATTTTTTGCCATTAACTTTTGTAACTTCTTTTGATTATTACTAATCTATTGGTTTTGTTTGGAAAAAATAGAGATTTTATTAATAAGTGAGAGCAATAGGCAGCTGGTAAAAAGGAAGAAAATAAGGAAACAAATTTGATTAAAAAATGGTTATAGTGGTAAAGTCAACAAAAATGGAAAACTATCAAATTTAATGTTTCTGTCAGAATTACATGTTACACAATTTCAGTTCCATAAAACACTGTTATAGATAGGAGAAAAAGGAATATCAAAAATATTTTGGATGAGCAAAGTGTGCTTACTTTTGTAATGGTGGATCCCAAATGGCAATGAGCCCCAACAAGTTTTAGTTCATTTGGATAAGACTTTATAGTGTCTAGGAACCATTGCAGCCTCTCATTTCTAATACCAAACTTTGAATTCTTGTTGCCTGTCGCTACATATGGATGCACCTAATGAAAAGAAAAGGAGTATAGGAAATCAAGTTTGACCACAAAAAAGTATTAAATCATACAAACAAAAAGACAAGGTCTCATTATCGCACATGAAGAAATGACATGTAAGATAATTAACCAAACAGTAAATGATTAGCATCCAAAAGAAAACGTAGAAGTCATTCAAAAACATATTTATTACATTGCCAGCATAATCCAACAGTTTAGCACAAAAGGTGGCTTAATTTATACAATTCTCCAATTAAACTGCTGTTTAAAAATCAAATGACATTTATATATCAAGTTTAGCAAATTGAATGTATAGAATTGATCCAAATAAAAATAACACACAGTTAGACAACTAGCAACAAGTAATGAAACTCTTCTAAAGAACCATAAGTTTGAAAAGAAATCAAACAACAATTCAATCTCATCATAGATAAGATGAAAATCAGTAAAAATATAAATCAATGGGAAAAGGGCATTCATTGGTTACTAGATGATATGATAGCCTCCGTAGGCACACTTTCGTTTGCTTGTTAACCATTTAAGAGATAATTAATTAGGGTAGTTAAAAAGTTAAGGAGCTGAAGAACCCTTCCTAAGTTCAACTTTTGTGATTTATCTTAACAATTTAGTAATATTAATTAACAACTATATTCAAACAAACAAGGGAAAGAACGGGAGGATTTGTAATGAAAACTACTGCATGCATTCAAAGATGCATGTTTTTGAAGTTTTGAGCAACTGATTGGCATAACCAAATATAATTGATAAAGTGCCTCGCTTCCATCAAGATGATAATGCATTAAAAAAATAATAATAACTAGCAAAGAAAAATGGATAATGAATATGAAAATGACCATGTGAATATTGTACAAAGACAGCTTAAGGAAGTTGCCAAAGTTTTCCTTCGGATCTGTGACATCCTCTAGTATTTCCTCCTTTGGACTCCAAAATAAAATGTTCCAAATTTGAACCAATCCCCTTTCACACTTCTTAGTTCGATATCTTTGAGATGTCCTTACCATTTAAATTCCTTGAAGATAATTTTTCCTTGATTTCTATCGAGAGTATTCTTAGGTAACTTCAGTTATCTAAGATGTAATTAACTATAGGGGCTTGCCCCTATAGGAAGCTTTTCCCGAACCCAGCGTAATATAAACCCTATTTGATTCCTTATATTAAATAGGGGAACTTGTCGGCCAATATATTCCTTCAAATACCGAGAAAGCAAATGAATCATTAATATATCAATAAGATTCTCATCCATGAGCTATTATTATCTGAGATAATTATCTAAAACACATTGTAGTTTGGTCTTGTAGATAATTATCTAAAACACATCTTAAGTTCAAACTAAATCCTAAATTTAGCAGGATTTGATAAATCTTAGCTCAAACAATGGATTATCATATATTGGTAAGACAAGTGAATCATTTCAGCATCATCGACTAAATCTCTATAAATCCATATAACTTGCAATCATCCAAAACCCAAGGATTTGATAAATTCATATAACTTGCAATCATCCAAAACCCAAGGATTTGGCCGGATTGGACAACCAAAAAGTTCGACCATATAATTTACTGCACCAAATCCTCTTAAATCCTGATTGTATAAAATTTAATAATTCTGGTTTACTGAATCCTACTTCCAATCAAAAAGGATATTAGTAGTGCTGTCTAAATCTTCAGAAAACCTAAAATGAGGCCAGGTTTGGCTATCCTTGCTTTGAAATGAAATAAATTACTCTCCTTTCTTCAAATCGTATAACTTAAAGGGAGTTCCATGCAAGCAACCAATCCAAAGTCTGAGAAACATTGAAAAACTTCGTTAAAAAAAATCAAAACTATTAACCTAGTAGGATCAAAGCCAGCACGAAGTGCGAGTCGGAGCTCGTTCGCACTGACAAGCACCGCTCCACAACCCAGCTCCCGTAGGTGCTCAAGAACCTTGAGATTATTATTCGCCTTGACGGCATACCCAATGATCGATCCCAAGCCTTCAAGAGCCTCTCGATACGCTTCGAAGTTCCGAGTGATCTGATCTTTGCTGTAGAGATAGAAGGGGCGACGCTCGACCGCCTCCATTATGTCCTGCACGCGGACGCCATCGCAGTTTAAGTAACCCTCCGGAGATTTCGTGAAGCAGCCGCTGGAAGCGCCGGAAGTAGTTGAGAGCGGTGAAGTGTGGGAGGAGGTTTGGGAGAGAACGGCGCGCGGGCTTAGAGTTAGTGCTGTAGTTGCTGCATTTGAGGTGAGATGGAAGGAGAGGAACGAGGGTGAGGAGGAGGAATGGAAGGTACGGTGATGGACGGGAAACTTCGCGATGTTTGGTGGATGCGAGATGAAATAGGCGGCGGACATTTTGGCGCTCGTTTAAGGCTTTAGGGTTGTGGCGGTGAAGCAGGGAAATGGAGAGGACGGGTAGTTTATGCAAAGTACTCCGGTGGGCTGGAGCTTTGCTTGGTTGCCCTTAACCTGGGAGTGTGTTTTCTTTTATTATTTTTATATTTATTTTTTTAATAATATTTTTATTTTTTTCGTGGAATGACAAAAATAAAGAATAATAAAGTCATAAAAGAGAAAATGAGCCAAAATATTTAATAAGCTATTTATGGCTCCATTGACTCAATGGGGGAAAAAAATAGAAATAGGGTTTTAACGTTTTAGATGTTTCGCTAGTTACGTTCATGACTTTTATGTTTCTCTTCTTTTTCGTGAAGGAATTTGAGCAAGAGAGTGTGGTGAGAGTTCCAGTCATTATAAGATAATTATAACTTTTAAATGATGGGATTGGATATTGCTGTTTGGTGTTTGTTGTCTTATAATTTCTAAATGCTGGCATTGGATATTGATACGTGTCCGAATGTACACCACAGTAGAGTCATTATTTAACGATATTGTGTTGTATGAAATAAACTCATACTCTAAGTAAAAAGGAAGTTAGGAGGAGACCTCTCAATTTTTATGTGAAGACCTCTAAAAAAAATCTATATGTGTGGCCCAGTTGAAATAATTTATGTGTAATTGTGAGTACACATGTTCATTTTTCTTTTGAGTTTGAGAAGATAGAATTGCAACGTTAATGTACAGTAAGATTTCAGCAATAAAAATCATTGCGAGCGGTGAATGTCATTGTAGTTTGTTGTGAAGTTAGTAATTTGTCGTGAATCTTGTATATGACGGTTGTAAAGTTAGCTTGTCGTGGATGTCTTAGTTGAAATTTAGGGTTGTTGTTGGTCATGTGGGTCGTGGAGGCTTGTTACATGAGTGTCAGTTGGTCATAAAGACCGTATTAAGAAGTTGCACGAGCAGTGAAAAATTTTGTAGGCTAGAGTTATGCACTGCATGAATTGTGACAATGTTTGCAGGCAATAGAGATCTCAGTTGACAGAGCTGTGAACCGTACAGGCTATAGTTTGTTACACATACCGAGGAAATGCAATAACATATGTTAGTTATTGGAGTCGGGATTGCAAGAGTCGGGATAATGTTCCGAGGTTATGTACATTGGAGTTAAGAGCTACATGAGTTGTGGGTCGCGTAGCCATAGTTGGTCACATATTTGTATATTGGAATTGAGAGTTGCGGGAGTTTTGGGTCGCCTAACTATAGTAAGTCACATAGGCTGTGAGGGAGAGTTATAACGTCTGTAGACTCTGGATTTCCTCCTCACTTCTTACAGCAGCTTTCACCGTCTCGAGCTCCCCAGTCTTCCCAATGTTCTTGCTTCTCCCACTATTTCAAGCTTTACCAAAATCCTTCCAGACCACCGATCTATCTGTGGTTTTCATTGAGTTTGTTGCTCTGATCAAAATTTCTGTCTTCTGGCGACACTAACCACTGTAGACACCATATTTCGTTCTATCCAAGATTCGCATCACACCGTCTCATCGTCGTCCAAAATTTTTAAGATTTCATCTTCGATAAACATTCATTCATTTTCATTAACACTTTTCTGAAGATTGTAGTGAGGCATCGTTGATCTTGTTGCATGTGTGGGGTCCAGTTTTTGGCTTAGGAAGAAAAACATGCTGCATATTTGACACTAATAGGCCAAACACGTTGAATGGATTTGTCTGAATTTAATCATAACTAAAGCAGAAAATATTCTGCATTTAAAAGCATTTGGATTGGATAAATCCATTTGGATTAGATAAATTTGGATTTAATGGATTTACTAAATCTTATTTAAATACGGGTTACAACTAGACAACCCCTAAATCCGATTAATTCGAATTCATGAAATTCGTTGCTTTTAATTTCAAGAAATTGTTTTGTATGATTTAATGTAAATTCATTTAAATTTATTTTTTATGTTTGACGTTTTATCAAGATTTTTTTTTTGGCACTAAATAAGTTAAATTTACCTAAAAATCAGATTTAGTGATGTCGAATTTGAGTCAATTGCCGAATTTATTTCACTTCTTTTTTTTTTTTTTTTTTTTTTTTTTTGCATTTGGATGGATTGACATTAAAATCGGATGTAAATCCTATTAAATTTATGTTGCATAACACCATCTTAGATGGATCCTTACAATCAGAAATGGTGCTGCTTAGTTTTCTTGATTTTGTTATTTTTCTGTGATGTTATAGTTCGGCTGGCCAAAGAGTTTTGGTATGTTTGTGGCAACTGTAGTTTTTTGATAAAACAGTTGTGAAGTTGTTGAAGAAGAACTTGCAGTTAAAAAAACTGTAGTGGTTATTACAAAAAAAAAAAAAATTTTTAAAAGTCAGATATTATTTTTTTGACAACCACTAGGTAGTCAAGTTTTGAAAGAAAATGCAACTTTCAGCTGCAGTTATTTGAAAATGCTGACAAAACTCTGTTTTGCCAAATTGGAGAAACCGCGATGCGGCATTGCACCGCCAACCAAGCACATATTTCTTCTATCAAAATGAAATGTATTGTTTGTTGTTTCAATATATGACAATCCATCCTCTGAATGATGGATTTAATAAAGACTATAATTTTTTTATCCACGGTGGCTCAACTTGATATTTGCCTACACCTTTTACACAACAAAGAACTTTCCTTGTTAACGTTCGCCCAAGTTTCTTTTCAATTGCTCGATCTTATGCACAAGGTCATTTTAAAGGAGTGAGTAATGATAGGACACTATATTACTTAATATCTTGTAAGATTAATTAGAGTAATTATTCAATAGATTGGTTATCTTATTGTAATATTTTATCACTTATATTCTATAAACAGTACTTATCAGACTACATTAAGAAATGAAATAAAAAAAAAATGTAGTTAAGTTTTTAGCATCCTACAATTGGCGTATACTTTTGGAGTATTTGCATCCTCAAATTACCGAATATCAACATTAAGAAAGAGGGCTTCATATCAGCCAAGTCAATTATTAGCACATAATTATAATCTTCGTAGAGGTATCATTTTTTATATTATCATAAAAGGAATCCTTATTTTCAAGTATTTACTTAAAAAAATCAGGTTTTGTATTTTATTTCAGTTAATCATCAATATGAGGATTTCATTCATGAGAAAAAATAGTCAATCCAGCAAACTCATACTCAAAAAAAAAAAAAAAAATGTCAATGCATATCAAGGCTATAACAATCAGTACCTAAGATTTAGGTGTCTATAATTGAAACTGACATTTTTCTGTATTTATAATTGATATTGAAATATTTTTACATTCATAACTCACATTGACATCTTTACGCATGTCTTAGCCTCCAACAGGCAGGTCTTTGGGTTGGTCGACTTAATTCGGTTGGGTCGGTTGTTTTGCCTCGGTACCAATTGACCTCGTTTTGGGAAGCTGTGTTGCGCCTCTAAGAGTGACAGCCGGTCGGTCAGCCTTGGGATGATCGGTGTAGGTGTTTGTCCCTTGCTGGCCAGAGCGGCTCTTTGGTAATAACATATATTTTCAGTCCATTGATCGTTCTTCAGTCGACTCTCGATATTCAGTTGATCAGTTTCATTAGTTCTTGTAGCTTCTCATAATATTGTTGATCTTCGTTTTTTTCTTTCTAATCTAGACCATTTGCCATCCTCGAGATACTTGCAGACAATTTACTTTTATACAATAAATAATAAAGTTAGCTTCTTTCCTAAAATAAATGGCCCATGCAAGTCCATTTTTTTAGGTTGTCAAAATAAGAATCTTTTTTTTTTTTTGGGGGTCAAATGAAAACTATAATTGGATAATTGCTTAATTTTTCTTTGAAAAGATTCTGTCTTTCTAATTATTTGGGAAAAGTTATTCAATAAAATAAGTCAAGATGGTGTGGCCAAGTGTTGCCTTCATATTAAACGGTTCAAATTCAACTGTGGTGAGTTTGGAACTCAGAATCTTGTTCTATAAAATTTATACTCTATATTTTTAAAAGCAAATCATTTATTTATTTTCTTAAATTATTATTAATTTCATGAACTTATTTTCTGAAAATAATAATAAATAATAATAACTAAACAAACTAATTAAATCAATCTCTAAATTTGCCAAGTTATTGGCTCATTTTTATGGTTGATAACTAAAAAAAGAAGAAAAAAAAACTCATTTTTATCAGTTTATTAACTTGCAATTAAAAAAGGCAAAAAATTCAACCAAACAATCCAGAATATTAATTTGCATGCCGGCGATAATATTAGTTATCAAATACTTAAAATTTGATGTATATTAATTTAACTAAATCGAAATAATATTTCGCCAAATGAAACCTATTTATAACAAGTGGAATCACATAAGTAACAATTGTCAGCCTAATTATTTAACAAACATATATACAACTGTCTTTAATTGTTTCTTCTTTGGCCTCATTCGGAAAATTTTTAGTATAAATAAGGCCCACACGAAAGTAGTAGCAGGTCTCCAAGCCCAGCTAACATGGCCTCCTCCTCCAACGTCCTCCTCCTCCTCCTCATGACTGCGGGCTTAATATTGACGAGCCTTCCATCCACAACTCCGGCGAACCATCTGGTTATTCGACAGTATATGCCTCCGGGGTTTTCCTTAAACTACCAAAATCAGTACATATTCGAAATGCGGAACGACTGCAACGCAGCTTTTAGAGAGGTCAATAGTCCGGATCCCATCTGGCAGACATATATAAATTTTGATGGACCAAAAGAGCGCTGTCATCTGAAAATACGAATAAATTGTAACATTGTCATTTTATCAGAGTATGGTGGGATTGTGCTCTGGGAAAGTCAGACCCAGCTGACAAGCGACGGTGCTACTCATTGTTTCATCGAAATCACAGAAAACGCCACCCTCTACGATGGTGCTGCCCGCAACAAGCTTTGGGTTAACGGCAACAAAGTTTAGTCGGGATCCCGGCATGAATTGAGCAGTCTTGACATGTAAAGCTGCTTCAGCACGTCGTATCGTATGTTCGACAAAAGAAATTATAGCGTGTTGTTACTTTGAAAGAGCATTATAAAAAAATTTCTATCAACTGGAAAGTTTTTTTCAGTTTTATATTAAT